TGATGCTTTAACTAAGTAAAAGGCATTTGCAGAAATCAATAAACTGAATGAATCACAATAGTGTTTTCAAATAAATGCCAAATTGTCCAGGCAAATTTCATAATTAGCGTTGCATGGTCTTCGGCGGCCACTGTATATCTTATTTTTAAAGTTTTAATATAGACGTCGAACAGAAGCGCAATTTATGAATCAACACATTAAGACAATGAAAACGATTGAGATTATGCCAGGCTTTATTGGATGATATTCAATAAATAGTTATACACTACTGGTAATGTGTATAAAATATTTTGACCAAAATAAAATTATTTTTATATAAAGAAATGTGTTACGTTCCGTTTTCAACTTACGAAAACATTAAGGTTTATTGTTCTAATTTATAGCCATTTTCTACATCTCCGGAACTTATACATTATCCGAAAAATTTTATTTTTTTAGCAAACACTTAGTACATCTTACAGTTCTTTTAAGTACCTAATATGCCTAATGCTGCTCATTATTATTTCTTAGTATTTGTAAATGCGTTCACACCGGTATGCAAGAAATGATCATAATTTTACAAACTGTACTTCTGGACTGCTGCCTAGAACTCACATGTTCGCTTCTATTGGTAGAAAATATATAATCCAGATAGTTTACTGGGCTGATCTTAATTTTCTAAAATTCATTTACTTTGAGATCCATTAACTATTCGACGCCCTTACTTGATTTTGGTTCAAGCTCCTTCTACATAGATGTACTGAGAATTCATTTAGCAGGTGCACGGTGTACGATTTGCAGGTTTGTTGCACCGCACGGTACCAGGTTTTCAGCCGCGACTCCCAGAAGATGTGCCCCGTTCAGCCATCACAACCTGAGTAACCATGTCTCCAAAGCAGACAAGGGCATCCTGCGGTATTCCACTATTGACAGTTCTCTCGTCGTGAGCGTTTACCTCCCCCGCCCTAACGCCTGTACACACTTTTCCAATCAAAACAAAATGCTGACAGAGTGAGCGAGAGTGATCACCTAGACGGCCCAAACAATTTAGGACTGTCTTCCTAAGCAACAAACTCGTGCCCCAGTATGGCATTCGGCAGCCGCGCGGGGTAACAAGACAGTCGTAAATGAGGAGGGGGGGCTTAGCACTACTTAGCACCCGATGGGTGAGAGATAGGAAAGAAGTGCCTTAAACGAGTGTTCTTCGTGGCTCCTGGACGCAAACCACGCCCTCGGAACACTATTTAGAATAGTAACCGTCCATCGGCACACCGGTGCCTCTACACAGTCTGCTGGATTGGCACTTCTCATTCTGGCAGCCTGGGATTTTTGTTCAGACACCTCAAAGGCATTCGCAATGACAGATGAGGCAAACTGACAAATGGACAGTCAAGTTCGACGATGTCCACCATATGCTCCGCAAAAGGTTGGTGCAGGGGCGGGAACTTGCAAGTGAATTAGTTGTAAGTCATAGTTGATTTTCAACGCATCTACCGCACTCTCTCTTCTCTCACTCACCTGAGCAGGGTGTCAAGACAAAGTCAGTAAGACCGGTGGTGGGATCAAACGTGGGGGGATGGCACGGCCGGATCCGCCGCTTTGCGTGACACCACGTCCACACCCCCCCTCTTCCCATGTTCAAAGTTTGTTATCGGTGCGCAAGCCGAATAACACCCACCGTACCCTGATCTGACCCCCGCTTTGGTTCGGCACATCTATCATGCGATCCGTTTAGAAGGCTCAGTCAGTCAACGACACAATACACACTTGGCTGACCGTGCAGTCCGTGTTATTCCGTTAGTCGGCAACCTTTCAAGCTACGGCTTTTACCGTAGCGTGATAGCTTCAAGTGCGTCAGATTCTTTATAGTGAAGAAAATGCGCTGAGCCGTCGACCTCAACCTCTCCTCCACCTCCAGCATCATACCGCGTCGAAGGTGGTCAGTCATCAGTCGTGGGATGGACGCAGTGACGTTCAAGGCCGGTAAACTCATCTGAGCGCGCTACCTGGCTCCCTGACCCGGCTCCCTTGACACATACACCAGAATTTACACAACCTGGGGATTAGACGGAGCGTCACCGTCTGACTCCCAGTCCACGCATTATTTACTAAACAGGCTTTACACACGGTGCTGAGAGTGTGTCTGGTAAGTGCGTCAACAGGGACCCTTCTCAGCCACGGAGAGCCGCGATATTCCCAGATCCGCATCACATATGTAATACAGGAGCTACATGCGGAAGCAACTGATGGGCAGACTTAGCTACTGAGCTAACATATTTACTTGCATGCATGCCTAAAGTTAAATGTGAAAATAAGACTGACCTATTTTGTCACGTGCATTTGCAACGCTGACTTAAATCAGCACTAAGGCCGATGCCTGATCTTTCGAGGTATCGGTCCCCCCCCTATTTATGGCCACCAGCCTATCTCACACTGGAGTGTAGTGCTGGCTTAAGGCAGCTCTGGAGCGTGCGCCAAGTCTGGCAGACACAGCCGGTCTTGCTTTGGGTTGAGGTGACGTAGGACTCTGTATTCAGTACTGCACCCATCCCGCTTCAGGCGACCGA